CTGACTCTTCACAAGTTAAACCCAGGGACAGATGATGCATGTATGAAAAGAATGTGAAACAACTCATGAGGATGAACAAGGAACGAGGACTGGAAGCAGTGCAACTTTGAAGAATGAAAAAGCCTCCATTTATCTTTCAGCAAACTAGGCAGGCCATCCTGCTAACACAGCAATGTCAGCTCTTTTATGCAGAGAGACACAGACAGTGCCCTCAATCCATATGCATGAGTTTGACTCCCTGACTCTTCTGCAGCCGTATTTTCCAGCATTTTCTTAATCTCTCATGAATTCAAGGTGCTTCTAAGAATATAAGAAGATTGCTCTATTTCTATGCTGAAAGGGTCTTTTTTTTTTTTTTTTGTATTTATTTTAAGCCCATATAAATGTATTTCTTAAAAAAATAAATTTAAACTTAGCCTATTTTCTCTCAATTAATCATGTTTTTTTGCAAAAAAAAAAAACAACATTTTTACCAGATGTATGAACTCAAGAAACTACTGTTTTAAAATAATCAGCACCAAATTTTCTTAAAGGGGGTACAAAAATGTAGACACAATTCTCTGAGTAGTCTTCCTATGACTTTAGGAATCTCAAAGGACTTTGATTTATAACATCATATGCTTTTTAAATGCCACAAAGTAGGCTGATAGCTTATGTAAATGACACTCAGATTCTTCAGTGTAGCTTAGACAGCCTTTTAGGTATAAACATGTTAATGTTTATAACGCTAGGCACAAAACGGAGGTAAAATTTTTGTAGCCTGACTTTATGTACCCTTAAAAGAAATTTGAAAGCTGATATTACACATACTAAAACGAAACAACCAAATGTCAGTCACAGGAATGAAAAATGATGTTCGGACCCATATATTTCTGACATATAGTCAGCTGGGTGTGGTGGCACACTCCTTTAATAATCTTAGCACTCAAGAGGAAAAGGCAAGTGGATCTCTGCAAGTTAAAGACCAGCCTGGTCTACAAAGCAAGTTCCAGGACTGTTAAGGCCAAACAGGGAAACCCTGTCTCAAACAAACAGATCAACAATAACAAAAAAGCAAACAAACAAACAAACAAAAAACAAAAAAGAAATCCATAGTTAAACCAAGTTTTCCTAATTTCATCCAAATGCTGAATATTAGACTTAATATTATGTACATAGACTTTATCCCTTTTGAAAAAACCCAATGGAGACTTGATATTCATCTACATTCCTTTGTAATATTTGTTCTATAAAACCAAATCATCAGGGCCTAGGGCAAGTTAGTGAAAGCTTTCTCAGACCACTGGAATGAATCGTCTCTAGTATCATCTATTCTAACAGTCTATGATTTGAGATGATCCCCAAACAAAATAAACCATCACAAAGACTTAATTCAAACACTGTAAACAAACATTTGTGGGCATCTAATTTTGCATCAGGCTTGATGCATTCAATTGGTTAAAGTACTCCATTCTTGTGGATGCTGTGGGCCCTGCATAGGTGACCTTTGGGACATTTGTGCCTCCAAATGCTAGGACAATTATTTAATCTATAGAAGCTGACCTTTACCAAAGGATCTCACCTCAAATTACATCCCCCTTCTTATGCAAGCTATGCAACCAAAGACCTGCTTGCATTGCCTCAGGTTATGATAGTGTTGAATAATCATCCAACTTCTGAAGAGTTCTTTGTGGGATCATCTGAGGCTTCTCTTTCATGTTGTTTCCTTCATTTTCACCCAAATATCGACAGCATCTATCTTGGTTAGGGTTTCTATTGCTATTAAGAGACATCATGACCATGGCAACTCTGATAAAGGAAAAGCACTTAATTGGGGTGGTTTACAGTTTCAGAGATTTAGTCCATTGCCATCATGGTGGAATATGGTGGTGTGCAGGCAGACATGGTGCTGGCTACATCTTGATCAGAAGGCTGTCTCACTGGGTGTGGCTTGAGCATATATATGAGACCTCAAAGCCCACCTCTACAGGGACAAACTTCTTCCAACAAGACCACACCCAGTCCAACAAAGCCACACTTCCTACTAATGAGATTCCCTTTTGGGGCCGTTTTCTTTCAAACCACCACATTCCACTCTCTGGCCCCCAAAGGTTTGTAGCCATATCATAATGCAAAATACATTCAGACCAACTTCCAGAGTTCCCAATAAGTCTCAGACTTACTTAAAAGTCTGAAGTTCAAAGTCTCTTCTAAATTCATGTGATTTCTTAACTATAATCCCCTGTAAAAAAATCAAAATCAGAAAGCAGATCACATAGTTCCAACATATAATGGAATAGGACATACAACACCATTCTAAAACATAGGAAAGAGCGGAGTAAGGAAATACTGAATCAAAGCAAGACCTAAAATTAGTAGGGCAAACTTCAAACTCTGCATCTCCATGACTCATATCAAAATGTTCTTCAGATTTCTACCTCCTTTCAGCTTAGTTGACTGCTTCCTCTTGGGCTGGTTCCACTCCCTGTTAGCAGCTTTCCTCAGCAGGTACCCCACGACTCTGACATTGCCAACATTTTGAAGTCTTTAAGGCTTCACCTTCATAGCTTCACACAATGGGCCCTCTCTAGGGCCTCTCTAGGGCCATGCAGGAAGACCCCTGACACATACCTTGCCTCAATAGCTATCCTTAGTCGCTCCTTGACTCTAAAACCAGACCCAGGTGCCAAAAGCTGCCAAGTTCTCCTGCTTGTTGGAGGTGGAACACAACCCTATTGTTCAACTGCATCTTCATGAACTTTCAGTTTTCAATGGTTTCCTTCACTACTTAAGCTTGGCTGTTCTAGAACTTGCTCTGAAGACCAGGCTGGCCTCAAACTCAAAGATTTGCCAGCCTTCCCATTACTGGAACTGCACCCAGCTCTAAGCTTTTCTTTAATTCCTTTTCACAATTTGGAAATTTAGCTAGGTGGGATCTTGCCCTAAGACACCCCCCCCATTTCTTAATCCATTTACCTCCTTAACACAGGACTTAGTTCCACCCCACTTCCTAGTGCACCTTTCCCCCTCAAATTTTACATTTTAAAAAAAAATTTCCTTGCTCAGCTTACTCCTTTTCATTTTAAACATTTATTAGCATTAACAATAATAACCACATAGCAGAGTCTATACTAAGATGTTTTGAGATCTGTTCTGCCAATGAAACTGACCCAAAACACTTTAGCCTCAGGCAGACTTTTCAGACAAGGACAAAATACAGCTATTTTCTTTACCATAATGTCACAAGAATGATGTCTAGGCAACATACTAAAATTCTTCTCCTCTGAAACCTCCATAGTCAGGCCCCCAAAGTTCATCATATCACACTCAGCACCACTGTCTTCCAATTTTCTGCTAGTATGACCCATTAAACAATGCTTAAAGTGTTCAACTGCTTTTTTAATTCATAGTTTCATGGGCCATATTCCTTCAAACAGAAGCATGGTGAAGCTTAACATAGCAATACCACAGTGCCTGGTACCAACTTCTGCCTTAGTTAGGGTTTCTGTTGTTATGAAGAGACACCGTGATCATGCCAACTCTGAGAGGAGAAAGCTTACATTTTTAGAGGTTTAGTCAATCATGGGGGGCATCATGGTAATGTGTAGGCAGACATGGTGCTGAATACACCTTGATTAGAAGGCAATAGGAAGTAAACTGTCTCACTGGGCTCTTAAATTAAAATTTCCAATGGAAATCTAACATGGAGCTAGTAAAACCAGGATCCTTCTCATATATAGACAGGTCTCTCTGAAAAGTGCTATATATAATGCCAGCTGGTTTCCCATTTGGTTTTAATAGAGTCGAAAGGAACTATTTCTGCAAAAAAGAAAAAAATATGAATAGAGACTGTTAGAATACCCTCATCTTCAGAATAATAAGAAACTATAGAATTAAAGAAATGAAATGTCACAGCTTCTGCATTTACGGCTCATGGTAACATAACAGAAAAAAAAAAGTCAGAAAGATTGCAAGAGCTAGAGGACCAGCAAATCTGGTATGAAGCAGTCTCTCCTAGAACTGTCTGCATAAACAAAACTGAAACAATAGCAATATCAATGGGCATATAGACATGGAAGAGTGGAAACACTGAAGAGTTCTACCCCTAGAGAAATAACTGTATGCAACTACTGATTGCTGCAAGAGGGAGAATTTACCTTCTCCAAGGAATGAGCCTCTTTATTGGTTGTTCAATGCAGTATTCAGCTCGAAACCACACATACACAGATAACCAAAAGGGACTCAGCAGTTTCTACTTATATGCATTTATAAAGATATTTGGAAATGTGTGTGTGCACGCACGCACACATGTGTGTATAACAAATATAAGCAAAGAAAAAAGGCTACCAGCTTGAGAGTGGGGAGGTAAAGAATGGGTGGGTCTAAGTGAAGGTAGCTGAGAGAAACTGGGGTTAGGAAAAGGGGGAGGAGTGCTGTATTCTATTTTGGGTTTTTTTTTTTTTTTTTTTTTAAGAAAGAAGCCAGGAGTGAGTGATGACACATGCCTTTAATCCCAGCACTTGAGAAGCAGAGGTTGGAGGATCTCTGTGAGTTCAAGGAGAGCCTGGTCTACATAATGAGTTGCATCACAGCCAGAATTACATAGAGAAACCCTGTCTCAACACCCGCACCACACCAAAAAAAAAAAAAAAAAAAAAAAAAAAAAGAAAACCAATAAAAGACAACACTGTGCTTATTTAGCTGATAATTAAGGGCTATTGAAGGAGATGCTGAAAACCATATTAGATGAGGTTCAGGAGAGGTTGGTGTTTGGTGGGGGCTGCAGTTCGAGAGCATCATGGGAGCGCCAGGTATTTTTTTTTTCTCTGTCCCTAATACTTTATTGATTTCCTTCTATAGACCTGTGCCCAGCTGGGTGGGTTCAGGGCAGGGGGTCACTATTCACCAGATTTCAGGTGGCCCACCTCCAGCCCTTCCACAGAACATGGAGGAAGATCTAGTCTTTTTTGGACCAGCACAGGACATCCAGGTAGGAGGACGATCCAAGAATTCAGGCCCACTGTTGTTTAGCCATCTTAGTTGTGTTTGGAGAAGTATTTCTTGCTGTCATCCACATTGATGGTGTCACTGCCGGGCTTCCAGCCAGCAGGACAGACTTCCCCGTGTTCATCTGTATACTGAAAAGCCTGGACTAGGTGAAGAGCCTCATCCACAGAGCGTCCCACCTGTAGGTCATTGACTGTGATCTGACGAAGGATACCCTTGGCATCGATGATAAAGAGGCCCCTGTAGGCAGTGCCCTCATCAGTTTTCAACACTCCATAATTTTCAGACAAGCTTCTAGTCACATCAGCAAGCAGAGGGATGTTCAGGGGGCCCAAGCCTCCCTCCTTCCGTGGAGTGTTGATCCACACCAGGTGGGTGAACTGAGAGTCCACAGATACTCCAAGCACCTCGCAGTCCAGCTTTTGGAAGTCCTCAGCGTGGTTGCTAAAAGCGATGATCTCCGTGGGGCACACGAACGTGAAGTCCAGCGGGTAGAAAAAGAGGACCACGTATTTCCCTCTGTAGTCCGAAAAACCGCCAGGTATTTTCTTAACACAACGTTTTTGGCAGCTGCGCAGGGAGGTAATGTGAAAGAATACAAATAGCCAGGAAAGGGAGACCTGAACTTTTAAAGTAAATCAAAGACAACCCTGTCTGTCTAACCCATACTGAGATAGTTACTCTACTTCCTGAAGAAATGCTCACAGAAAGAACACACACACACATACACACACACAGACACAGACACACACACACACACACACACACACACACACACACACACACACACACTTGTGAGACAATGGTTTATTATTTATATTGGGGTTTCCAGTTCATTGTTCTATTGTTTCTGATGTCATGTGTTGAAAAGCTATGCCTTGCTTTGATAGAAAGAGGTATTTGCAACATTACAAGTGTCACCAAGACTCTGGAAAATCAAGAGAGTCAGTCAGTGGTGTCAGTGGCATCAGAAATGATGACATCTGAATGGAGGTGATCTCTTGATCTGTGATGTGTTCTTGGAGCTTTCTTGGCTTACTGTCTCCTGTTGTGTGTCAGGCAACAGGGGGCAGAGCTCAGCTCTGCACCTGGTGCTGGTCCATGATTTACATCAAGAAACTGCCTCCAAGTCTCTGCTGTCATTTCCTTTTTAAGTCTGGGATCATAATTTATAGCATCACCAGCCAATACAACTCTAACCATAATGGGAGGCTTCGTGTTCTCTGCTGACTAATCAAGTAGTTATATACATGTATTCATCGCTTAAAACACTGGGAAAACCAATGTTTATGTAACTTTAATTGATTTATATTTAAATGTACACCACTGCCACATAGGTTACCTTATTGGAGAGCACAGGAGAGCACCTGCTATGTAGGTGCCAAAATCATGCATTGACATTTCTCCAGGAAGTAAGGAAACTGACCCTTGTGTAAATAATTGTGACATTTCCTGATTTCACTTGAGGTAAGTGCTCATTAACATACTTGACCTCCTTGGATAACAATTCAGTTTGCTACCACTTGAAACTAAAGTAGGCAATCTGTAGTCCCGAGGCTAAATCTAGCTTGCTGGTAGTTTTTGCAGAAAAACAGTAACAGTGGCATTGGACACACAGCATGCCCACTTGTTTAGAAAATCATCTGCAACAGCTCTCCATGCTACAAGGGCAAGGCAGGATCATTTTGGTAGAGACAACCTTGGAAAGTGGAAATATTTCTTCCAGATTTTACAAAGTAAACTTGTCCATTCCTGAAGCAGAATAATGTTAAAAAAACAAAACCCAAATATTGTCTTTGTGTTTAAAATCTAGTTAATCCCCTCTCTCTCCATTTCTCTTTAATATTGTATTTGAAGTTCTAGCTAAAGCAATAAGACAGCAAAAGGAGATCAAGGAGATACAAATTGGAAAGTAAGAAGTCAAACTTTCTCTATTTGCAGATGATATGATAGTTTACATAAGAGACCCCCAAAAAAACTCTACCAGGGAACTCTTACAGCTAATAAACACTTTCAGCATACTAGCAGGATACAAGATAAACTCAAAAAAAAAAAAATCAGTAGCCCTACTATATACAGACAGCAATGGGGCTGAGAAAGAAATCAGAGAAACATCACCCTTTACAATAGCCACAAACAATATAAAGTGTCTTGGGGTACCGCTTACCAAACATGTGAAAGGCCTATATAATAAGAACTTTGTGTCTTTAAAAAAATTAAAGAAGATACCAGAAAATGGAAAGATCTCCCATGTTCTTGGATAGGTAGGATCAACTTAGTAAAAATGGCAATCTTGCCAAATGCAATCTACAGATTCAATGCAATCCCCATTAAAATCCCACCACAATTCTTCACTTACCCTTGAAAGGAAAATACTCATCTTTATATGGAAAAACAAAAGACCCAGGATAGGCAAAAAAAAAAAAAACCTGTACAATAAAGGAACTCCAGGAGGCACCACCATCCCCCAATTTAAGCTCTACTACAGAACTATAGTCCTAAAAACAGCCTGATACTACAAAAATAGACAAGCAGACCAATCTAAAATCCTGATATTAAACCACACACCTACAAACACCTGATATTTGACAAAACAGCTAAAAGTATACAATGGGAGGAGGAAAGCATCTTCAACAAATGGTGCTGGCACAACCGGATGATGGTGTGTAGAAGACTGCAGATAGACCCATGTCTATCCCCACACACAAAACTCAAGTTCAAATGGATCAAAGACCTCAACATAAATCCAGCCACACTGAACCTCTTAGAGGAGAAAGTGGGAGGTATCCTTGAACAAATTGGTGCAGGAGACCATTTCCTGAACATAACTCCAGTAACACAGACACTAAGAGCAACAATTAATAAATGGGACCTCCTCAAACTTAGAAACTTCTGTAAGGCAAAGGACACAGTTGACAAGACCAAACGTCAGCCCACAGACTGGGAAAAGATCTTCACCAATCCTACATCTCACAAAGGGCTGATCTCCACAATACACAAAGAACTCAAGAAACTAGTCAACAAAACACCAAATAACCCTATTTAAAAATGGGGTATGGAACTGAAGAGAGAATTCTCAACAGAGGAAATTAAAAAGGTTAAAAGACACTTAGGAAAAGGCTCAATATCCTTAGCTATCAGGGAAATGCAAATCAAATACCATCTTACTCCTGCCAGAATGGCTAAAATTAGAAACACCAATGACAACTTATGCTGGAGAGGATGTGGAGAAAGGGGAACACTCTTCTACTGCTGGTGGGAGTGCAAACTTGCACAGCCATTTTGGAGATCAGTATGGAGGCTCCTCAGGAAAATGGGAATCAGTCTACCACAGGACCCAGCAATCCCCCTCTTAGGCATACAAATGATCCACATCCATGCAACAAAGACATGAGCTCAAATATGTTCATAGCAAGGAACTGGAAGCAACCTAGATGCCCCTCAACTGAAGAATGGATAAAGAAGATGTGGCACATTTACACAATGGAATACTACTCTGCAGATAAAAACAATGGACTCTTGAAATTCACAGGCAAGTGGATGGAACTTGAAGAAACCATCCTGAATGAGGTAACCCAGTCTCAAAAAGAGGCACATGGTATGTACTCACTCATATATGGATTTTAGACCTAGAGCAAAGGATCACCAGCCTATAATTCACACCATCAGAGGAACTAGGATACAAGGAGGATTCTAAGAGATTCATATAAAGTCCCTCACAGAAGGGGGAATGGACAAGATCTCCAGAGCATATGGGGAGTGGGGGCAGGCAGTGAGTAGAGAGGGAACTAGGAGAAAGAGAAGGGGAGGAGAGGAAAGCACATGGGACTAGGAAGATTAAGTCAGGGGAGGAATAGACCTGAGAAGAGAGAGAGAGAGAGAGAGAGAGAGAGAGAGAGAGAGAGAGAGAGAGAGAGAGCATAAAAGAGGAAGCCATTATAGGTTTCGAGAGAAAACTGACTCTAGAGAAATGTCCAGAGACGTACAAGACTGACCCCCAACTAACAATTTGAGCTTCCGTGGAAAGGCTACCATAAATGCCCTTCCCTGATAATGAGATAGACAACTAAATTATCCACCAACATGGAGCCCTCATCTAGTAGCTGATGGAAATCGAAGCAAACGCTCACAACTAAACATTGAGCCGAACTGGAATCCAGATGCAGAGAGGGGGGACAAGACCAGGCTGCAGATATACATAGAGACAGCTTACCTAAACCAGGAGGAACTAACAGGCCCCCCCCCCAAAATGATAGCTGGGAATCCAGCATGGGATTGACTCAGACCCCCTGAACATAGGTCTCAGCTAGAAGGCCTGAGCAGTCTAAGGGACCTCAGACAGTGGAACCAGGATGTATTGCTGGTGCACAAAAGGACTTTGGGGGCACATTCCCCATGGAGGGATACTCCCTTAACCTAGAGACAGGAGAGAAGTCCTAGTCCCTACTCCAAATGACTGGACATATTTAGATGACCCCTCCTGGAGGCATCACCCTACATGTGGGGGGGCATGAGAAGTTGGGAGAGAGGGAAAGAGGGAGGGAGGGAGAGGGAACTGGGATTGCTATGTTAAATAAAAATAAAACAATAAATTAATATATAAAATAAATAAAATCTAGTTAATCAGATCAGACTTTTCACATCAACATGTTGGATTCTTTTTCGTTGACACCAATTAAATATCTTTGTTCGTGTAAGTTCAACCTTCATCTAGCTTCCATGCAGATTTTGACAGACGGTGCTCATTCTTTCATAGCCTGTGTTTGAATGAATGACCAGACCCTGTGTTTATCTTCTGGTGATGGCACCACAGTTCCTAAGTTCTTTGTAATTCTTCTACTATGATCTTTCCCTCCTTCTTTTAAAAAAATATAAAATTTAATTGTGGACTGTGGCCCCAGTCACTGGTTTTCCAAACTTATGGGATGGACCAATCCACATAGCAAAATGTGCAAACTATCACTCATTAAATGAGGAAATACTAGTTCTAGTTCTCATATTAAGCCAGGTTTAAATTTGTATGAGAACTCCTACCATATCCTTGGCTTCTTTGATTTATCCATCCAGAAGTTATGCTGCATCTTAGTCAAGAGGTGTGAATGCTTATCCATATATTAATAGACAAGCTAATAAACAGTCTAGTATTTTGGTTGTAGTTTTTGCACGTAAATGCATGTACAGTAGATTTAGGTACATATACACATGTTCACATGAGTGTTGATACGTGTGTGTGTGTATGTGTGTGTGTGTCTATGCATATGGAAACCAAAGCCTGTTCTCTCCTTTATATGTTGGGCAGGATCTCTTAATCGAACCCAGAGTTTGATAATTCAGCTCGTCTAGCTAGTTAGCTTGCTGGTGTGGCTGTGTATGAGGGGGTAATCCCTGTATCTCTTTTTGAAGTGCTAATATTATAAATGGGCCATGTCTCTGGCCCCACATCTACATGAGTGATGAAGATTCAAACTTTCATCTTCATGCTTGCATGGCCAAGACTTTAGGCACTGGGATACCTCTACAGCCCCATAAGGTATAGGTGTAGTGAGGAGGAAAAGATTGTCCTCCTAACT